TTCTACATAACTTAGACATTACGCATTACTGAAGCAGCGTTAGCAACATTCCTAGTAGCAAACAAATAACGGTGGTAACGGATGACAAGTAGAAATAACTACTGCATCCTTCATTGATAACCGCGCCTTCTCTGGTGGAAGTTCGCAACAGTTTTCAAAGAGGCTTTCAATTAAGGTTTCAGCAACGCCCCAGTGACCGATGTTGAATCAGTAATGGAATTCAATATGAAAAACTTTACCTCAGCTATAAATACTCATTAAGTTTAGTACTCATAGCCCCTGAGGATTTCTCGTAAGTTGTCGAAAGATATAACATTTGTTTGTTGTTCTAAATCGCTCATCAATCGGTCCCACTCTCTGAGTGCTTGTAATTCTCGTTGTACCTCAGATTTCAGAAGACTCATATGCAGTCGTAAGACTTCTGCGACCGCAGTTTTTTCGTCGTTACTCTTTAGTAACCCTAAAAAACGTTTGGTATGATCAATGCGTAACTGTTCGTTACTTTTAATTGGAAGTTCATTAATGGTTTGCTTTGAAGCCTTATGTTTGTAGCTTAGGAATTTTTTACGTGTCGGCTGTGGAAGAAATGAACAAAGACTAAAGTCACTGTAACCGAATAGCACCGTCGTTATCAAAAACTGTTGACAGGTTCTGCTGAGTGATGCTAAAATTACTTATTGGGCAGTGATTAAGTAGTTTACAAAAATTACCGCCTAATAAACGCAAGTGGGCTTCTTGATACAGCGGGAGGTCTGAGAAGTTCACCTCATTGTCTTTTTGATTCTGGAAGAAAGGGTCTGCAGTTGTGACTTTGTTCTTGGTATTTGAACTCTTACGTGGCTTCCTCCGACGAAGTGCACTCACAGAACAAGATCTGCTCCTTTCATTTTTAGCAAGAATGCCCCCAGGTCTTTTCCTCTGCGGCCCTTCTTGCTCGCTATTTACATCTGTTGCATTGTTTTCCGTTGTTGAAATAATCGGAGATTGTTGAAGAATCTTGTTACACTTGGTAGTAGTTTCAGAGCTTCTACTTATTTCACTTCTTTCTTCTTCCTGCAGATTTGAATTGCTTGTTCTGTCATTTTTAAGCGTTAAAGTGCTGCAACAAGAAGGTGAGCTTATTTCCACAGAATTGCCTTCTGAATTCTCTGCTGGTAGACCAGATGTCAAAACTGTATTAGTTACGCTAAGGCTGTGTTCCTCCTTACGTGTTGATGCTTCTGACGTTTGGTTACTTGTTGTATTAGGCGTTTGCGAAAATTGTTTTGATATGTCGCTTTTTGAACTCCTTTTCTTATCGCATGAAGAACTGGGTTTTTGAGTCAAACTTTCAGAGGTGGAACTTGCCGTGGAGCGTGAAGATCGGAATTCTTTTAAATCATTATTCTGTTTTTCATTTGTTGATTTTGTATTTATCGAAAGTGAGCTGCTGGAAGCGTCGTTGTCACTTTCTGGTAAGTTTTCTGACACTGACGACGCTGTATTAACAGTTTCCTCTTTTCTTAGTTCTTCCTGAATCGAAGTTGTGCAACTGTAGGTGCTACTTTCGTTGGACACTTTTCGGAGAAAAGGTGATTGAAAGGGATTTAGAACTGCTTCCGACGTCTGAAAGACATAATTTGGGGAGGAAAATGAACGTGCTAAGATGCTTATTTTATTGTAAGCTTTGCGGTTGCAGATATATTTTTATAGTTGTATCAATCACCTTGACACCTAACAGTGATGACAGTTTGTTGACATCGTTGAAATTTTTAACTGGTTGACGTTTAGTGTTACTCTTCACCTCTATTTCCAAATCTTCGGAGGGGCGACCATTTGACTGTAAGGAGAAGTGGTAAAAGCTTTCTGTTTTTTTTAAAGGATTATTGACAGCTTAATTTGTATAGGATCAAAACGTTTATTAGTTTTAACAAGGAATTATTCTCTGAAGGACAAACGTTTAACCGATACGAATTGAATGAGGGATGCCTGTTTTTTTCCAACAAGCGAACATTTAGCAAAGCACTTTTCCCATAACTTTTTTCATCGCAACTAGTTTCCTCTAACTAGGGGTTGATGAGAAATACAGATTATTAATGAAAAGCATAAAAAAGATGGCATAAATTATAGCGCTTCTTTATTGTATTATCAATCAATCATTTTGATTTCATCGCGCTATTGACATATTTTGAGCAAATTAGCTTAACTAAACAAAACTGCAGTAAGTAGGCGGGTCTGTGATTCTGTTTTCTATTTGAAAATTAAATGAGTTATTTTCTACATCAAATATATTTCTGATTTTGTTTGTTTTTATATAAACTGCTTTCTTATCGCATTATTGCTCCAAATCATAAAAAAAGGCGTGGTGGTGTTAAGTGGGATTACGGAACTACAAGCGTAACACTGAAATGGAAGAACGGAAGCGTTGGAGAAGTATCCTGCGAGGGACGGTCTTTATGACTACTGGCCTGCTAAAAGTGATTCTGTTTTTAAACTTTTTCATTCATTTTCGGTTTTATTTTTTGAGGAAACTGCATTTGAAGCATTTTTTCAATTAGCATTCTGGAAAGCATTTGTTAGCTCACGGAGTTCAGGGGAGTGAAGAATAATCACTTGCTAAGTATAAAAATAGATGGATATTAAATACCTCGTAAGCGCTTTATAGTTGAATCTTCGGCAGGCCATAAGTAAATGTAATGGAAAAAAGTATGCAGCTCACTTTATTTAGTACTGTGGCTTCGGTTTCTGATTCTTCACTTGGTAACTTCTTTCCAAAATATTCGTGATTGTTGCTCAGAATATGGTTTGCAACAGCAGATTTCTTCAAATTATTGATGCCTTTTGATGACCTAAAATAACTGTTATGATCCTTACATCGCCTGTGATCACCATCATTGTATAGATGGCAGTGTCAGCGTGCTTCTAAACAGACTTCATATAGCATGCGGTATATGACTTTTTTCGTTGCTACAGGAGTGCTTTTTGATATTTGGAAATCGAAAATTTGAAATGTGAAGAAGGGAGAACTTATCATAACTTAATTTTGTCTCTCTGCTTTTTCCTTGAATGACAAAACAGCGGATCTGATTTCAACTGGCGTTTATTGAAAAACGAATTGATTTAAAAATTAAAACGCGGCAAGTCCTTTTTTTTTTTTTTTTTTTTTT